CCCCAAAACCCCAAAACCCCAAAACCCCGTGGTGGATTGATAATATTGAAATTCAATGTCCAGGCAAAGGAATTTAGGGTGCTTGGAATCTGTAGAGAAGGCTGTGGAAAGGGATCCTAGTGAGAGGATAGTAAGGAATTGGGAAAATATGCATCTGGAAGTAATAAAATTTATGATATTTTGGTGCTCCTGAGACTCTATTTTATTCTTAATGGTTTGATTTGTTAAAAATTATTATAATGCCTGGCTTCTTCCTCTAAATCTTCCTCTTTTGATCATTAATTTTCCATCTCTTAAAGTGCTTTTTACATTCTTCTTTTTCTTTTCTTCAAAAGCTGGCTGTTTCTTAAAGTCTTTCCTGGTATGATCAAGACGTTCTCTTCGTCTATAATACAAAATTATTTCCTTTCAAAGCAAAATATGAAAACTAAATTAGTCAAAATTATGCTCTAGGTCCTATTCGTTCAGCCTATTGTACCTTTTTCTGATAGCAGATATACTGGCAGTACCTGCTCTCGATTGCTGAGAGAATAAAGAATATGAAGTCTGGCCTCATTTTCTAAACCCACTACTTGAGAGAAGTCTCTCGTTTTGGAACTTTAAGCAAAATTTATTTTTAGTTGAATTATTTTTCTTAGTAGTCTTAACTCTCGTCTCAGAAACAGGCTTTGTCATCTCCATCCCCTCACTAACACCCCCTACTCCTTTATCAGCTATTAAGTCATGGAAGAACTCCTTAAGCTCATTATCTCCCAATATGACTTCGATTATCATCTGAAGGTCCTCTGAGGAATAATTCAGCTTGGAAGTATTCAGTGGGGAACCTGAGCTTTCTGTAGGTGGGTTAGGGAAGAAGGAGTTTTGGTAAGAGTAGAGGGAGGAAATGTGCTTGGGGCATAGTGTGGTAGATAATTATGATAAGAAGATGAAGATTAAGGGAGAGTCAACTGTTTTGGTAAGAAAGGAAAGGGAGTGGTATGTGAGTAGTTTACTTACCGTAGAGGGGCTGGAAGATCTTTATAGGCAACTGTACAGGCCTCAAGCTTGGCTTGGAAGCAGTCGAGGTTTCATATAAGATGTTTATTAAAAGATCTTTTAAAGAATCTGTGTTCATATTCAATGGACTTTGGGGTTCTATAACTAAAGTTAACAGCAACTAATATCTCTCAAAATATCGCTTACAACACCAAATTGCTATAAAAGAAGTATCTTTATTTCCGAACACAAAAATTGATTAACAACCTATCCTCATCAAAATAACAACAAAATCAGCTAAGATAAAATTCCAAAATCCCAGATCTAAACTCAGGACTATCAAAATAATTAACACCTAATGCTAGATTTAGAAAAATTTGTAAAATCAACATCCTGAGCAAACTGCAACAAAAAAATTTTAACCCTTGAATCTCTTATCTTCAAGTACGGTCTCTTCATCCACTCTAAAACTTACCGAGAAGGTCGAAGCCTCTGTAATACCTTCTACTGTGCTTTCTTGACCCTAACCTCCTTTTCTGCTTGCAAACATTGTGGGCTTTGAATATGTCGAGTATTTCCATAAGGAGTTTTTGGTTTTCTAGCTTTGAAAATCCTATAATTTCCTTCCTTGAAAATTACCTTTTGCTTGAGTTTTCACTGGAATTTGAGGGGCCTAGATTTCGAAGAATGTGTGTGAAATTATGGTTTTTAGGTAAAGATGATAAAAATGGGAAGTGTAGGTAGAAGGTGGTAGAATAGATCTGGAAATTCCTTCCTGTGTTACCTTCTTGGTTCCTTGGAGGCGATTGATTTTGTACTGGTTGGCTCTCTTAATTTCTTGTAATCTTTGGAGCTCTCTGAGGCCCTGATCAACCTCTCTAAATTGCTTGGCTTCTTCCATATATTCCTTAAAACTCTAAATTCGGTATTTATTTACTTTCGAATAGTTGTAATGATAGACTGTAAAGTTTAAGTGAGCTCATTTATTAGCAATTTCGAGTGATCTTACCTTCTTATTTAGATTGGAAATAGCATTTCTTTGTGTTATCCCCTATAAAACTTCAGTCAGCTGTTAATAGCATTAAGGTTTAAAAATGCATTAGATGCAGTAAAACCCTCTCTAGCTGTACTAGAAGTTTAGTTTCAGCGTTTCGAATGTGGACAAGAGGGTACAGAGATTTTGAGAGGGAAAACTGGAATTTTAAGGAAGAGGAAGGATTTAAGAGGCATGTGGGAGAGAGTAGGTGGCTGATTGGGGACGTAGTTATGGGCGAGATAGTAGATATGTGGTTTCTTGTGAGGGTCTAGAGGGACTTAGAGGGATTATAGCAGAGGAAAGGAAGCGAAAGACAAGAGAGTAGGTAGGGAAAATGGTGAAGGCATTCTTGCTTTTAGGAGTTTCTGGATGTTTGATATGTGAAGGAAGTAGGTTGGAGAACTGAGTAGATGAGAGAAGCAATTGAAAGTACGGAGATACACACTTAGAAGAGATAAGGAGGTCAATGAGTCTTAATAAGAAGAAGCGTTGACAAGAAACGGAACAATGCCTAGAAGTATCCTTATACCCAAGCTTATTCAGTAGAAACCAAAAGGATCCTCAACAGAGTTGTCCTTTTACAAAACTATAACTTCCCCTCCAAACCAAACCTCTGTACACCTTATCCTTACCCAACACCACCCTTGAGACACAACCTCTTTACTAACCCCTCTCCTCCCCATTTCCCACCAACATCATTACCCCCTCCTCAAACCCACCCCTTCACCTCTCCAACCTCTGCCTACCCCAAAACCTAAAATTTCCTTAACAAAACATCTAAAAATCCCACACATCCAAATCATACTACCCCAACGATTTCCCCTCAAAAGAAGGATTCTAGAAGAAATTGTACTATCTGTGCTATCAATATTCTGGAAGAAATGAGGGAGAGGGAGGAGTAAAGTACCTTGAGTCTCACTGGTGATCTTTAGGGTTCTTTTTATTTTGACTAGGGTTTGGAGAGTCTTTAGTCTAGCTTCTTCGTCAAGGGCCAGGACAAGTGCAGACTTGGCATTTTTGGAACTCGGAGATTTTGATGAGAACTGTAGTATTGTTGATAGGATTGGTTCCATTTTCAAATAATATTTCAATTTAATTTTAATAAAGGGGTTTTGGGGTTTTGGGGTTTTGGGG